CCCCAAAACCCCAAAACCCCAAAACCCCTCAATACAAATATTGCAGAATAAGTTTGAAAGCTTAATATTCTTCTCTTTAAATATCTAATTAGTTTAAAATTCCATTGTCCCTCTTATATTAATAAACAATCAATCAATAATATCTCAATTATCCCTAAGTATTAATTAAAAAAATTATTGAAAACCTAAGATATGCAAGAGAAATTTTAAAATGAGGAAAAGATTCCTTTACTTACATTAAAATAGTTGAGTTAAACTTAATCAATGATTTAAAGAAATAATGATCAATCTGACCTAGATTATCAATGGATTTTTTAAAAATATCAGGAAGTTGACTACTCAATTGCGGAAAATAGAAAGATCCCAATCATCTTTAATTACAAAAAATAAAATGTTACTTTGGGAGGATACTATATTCTTCCACATAAAAATTGGATGATTATTGAATATTAACTAGATGAGTACAAAGACATCTACTTTTTTGAAGTATATGACCAAAATACAAGAGAGTTGATAAAAACATTTGAATTCGAGGATTGTAAAATAGCAATTCATTACAGACGCTTCAATGATGTTGACTACATATTCTATTAGAAATAAAGAAGCTTTATTTTAGTAAAACTGGATGATTTAGAAGATAGAGAACAAAAGTAGCTGATAAAGTTCAATTTTCAAGAAGATGTTTAAATCTAAAGAGCTTGGATTTTAGATGAATCTACAATCACAATGAAATGTAAAATTGTCAATCAGAGAAGATAATTTGTTTTCAAGTTAGACAAGTTTATCACATAAATTACTAATGATCAAATAGTCTAGTTTAACATCAATATTATCTCTTAAGGAAACTACCAGAAAGTGGTATCTTAAACGAATAAAGAGATATTTTTAAGGGATGAATAGTAAAGTTATTTTCAACTGCCCTGTGGATTCACTGATAGTTTTGATTAAAATGTGTTAATCAACCATTTTCTATTTTATAAAAACTCAAAGACCCTATTTATTAATAAAAATACACTTGAAGTAGAAAAAACTATTGACAAAATATTTCATGTCGTTAATCACAAAGGTCATTATGAGTATCTCATGGATTCTGATCTTAATCTTTATACTATTGAAAAAGCAGGTAATATGAATCTTACTAAGGTTCATTAGCTTTCATAGAATATAGTCTAATAATTCCGTTAAGTTGTAACTACTCCGAATAAGATATTTGTTGAGTACAAATTAAAAACTTAGATTTCAATTGTTTAAGTATATGATGCAAGGACACTTAAACTATTAAACGAGATAAATGAACCTGATGGTGCTAATATTGAGATAGATGCCAGCAATACCTCACTCTACTTTCTTTTCTAGAATAACTAATTCGAATTCTTTGACCTTAATAAGAACTATGACTACTTTAAAGACGTGCAACCGTTTATTTTTCAGGGACAGCAAATTCTAAAAAACTAGATCATAAGAAATCTTAATAACTATTTAATCTATGATTTAAAAACAAATGATTCAATAATCGTATAAGACATGATGAGTGGAAAATGTCGAGAAATAACTAAAGAGCATGAGAAAAATTGCCTCGAATACTTAAGCTTTGATTAAAACTTTTTGAATGACAGCGAATTTTATGAAAAAATAATTGTGAAACCAAAAAGTTAATAAGTATAAACGATATCATCAGATGATACAATCGTCAATTGCACTCTATAAAACATTTAACTTAATAATAACAGACTTATCAGTATGGAAGACTTAAGAAGATAATCTGATATAGTATATGAGAATAAACCAAAATATTTCTGTCTAATGTCGGATAGATTCCAAAAAGATAGATATGTGCTGGATATAATATCGAAAAATAAGCTTGTCTATTTTGATAAGTTCAGTCTGAAATTCAACCTTATGGATTTGAAAGATTCTCTTATAGAAGAGTTTCCTATTAAAGCTATTATAGATTTTGATCTTCAAATTTTGCTCATTTAATATGAAACTTTGCTAATTGTATATAATCTAGAAACTAGATATAGAATCACTGAAATATTTGCTTTTGGTAGATCATCATCGATCTTTATAGATAAGAATTATCTCTAAGTAAGCATATTTGATAGTAGCTATATTTATTTCTTTAATAATGGGGCAATTGATAAAATCTTTTAAATCAAGTTTCCAGAAAATTTAGAGATTATTAACTGCTTCCAAAATATTATAAATTATAATGCTCAAACAATTCTGAAAAGAAAAGATAAGCTTGACTCATCAGAATTATTTACCATGAATGAAACATCATTTGATCAAATCAATAATGAAAAGCATTTGGTTTAACCGTTGTATTTAGCTTTTTTCTTTGAACACACCTACAAAATAATAATAGATTCAAGTAAAGTCTAAATCTTTGCTAAGAGTGAAGATTAGACTTGCGGGTTTTTCAACTTATAAATAACTGATCAGCTTATTGATGATTATAGAGTCATTAAGAAAATGAATAATGAGAGAATTATAAAAGAAATTACTCAAGATGTTGATAAGTACACCAAGTTAATTTCAGGCTATGGTACATGCTTC